CCCCTGGTTAGATCTTAACTGCCGGGTAGGTTCATATTTGTGTCACCTTTCCTTTCCAAGGGCTGAAGGAACAGGGGCAGAGTCCTCCCCTTCCATAAAACCCATCGAGGCAGAGGGGAGTCCCAGCAGGAAGTACTAGCCACTTACTTGGCTGGCTCGGGAACGTGAATTCAGGACAGAGCTGCCGGCTGACAATTTCCGATGCTGTCTGGAAAGAAGACAAAAGGGTTGATCATTCATTGAGCTGTTTCACAGTTGGAAAGGCCACTTGACTGCCAGAGCTGGTGATGAGGAGGAGGAAGCGTGAGAGGTAACATTCATTCCGTAGACGCGACCGACTCATAGGATGCGCTGTTGTTTTTCTGCAGTCTTGAAAATGATCTACAGCAGTGGGTTCCCAACCTTGGGCCTCCAGATGTTATTGGACTACAACTCCCAGAAGCCTTCAACACCAGCGGTGCTGCCCAGGGTTACTGGGAGTTGCAGTCCAATAGCACCTGGATTAGCTAAGGCAGTGGTCCCCAGCCTTGGGCCTTCAGATGTTCTTGGACTTCAACTCCCAGAAATCCTGCCAGGAGAAGTGGTGGTGAAGGCTTCTGGGAGTTGTAGTCCAATAACATCTGGAGGCCCAAGGTTGGGAACCACTGACCTAAGGTAAGGAACCACTAATCTAAAGTGTTAGTTCAGCTAAATAGGATGGATCATAAAGAAATGGGAGAAGATTGCCTTTTTCTGGATAGTAGCTCTCAGAATCTTACACCCGGTTTGACCAGTTTTCAAAAAAGGAGCTGTGTTATGCTGTTTTAGTGTGTATAACCACAACAACAGCAAAATAGCACACCACCAAGAACAAAGGCAAAAGTACCTTAAAGAATAACAGATTTAAGATTGGTTGTTGTGGGTTTTTTTGGGCTCTTAGGCTATGTTCTGAAGGTTGTTCTTCCTGACATTTCGCCAGTCTCTGTGCGGCAACTTCAGAGGACTGAAGTAGGAACTCTGTCCATGCTCTGTTGCTGTTTGTTGGATAGTTGCGTATTTATAGCTGTGGGAAACAGCTTTTTGTCCTTTTCACAACAACCATCAGATCCCGGCCGTGAAAGCCTTCGAGAATACAGATTTAAGATTCTCCATTAAATTCAGCCTGACAAAATTGATCAAATTCCAATTGTTGTTGCATGGTGTGAGTGGGTGAGCTCAGGTGCTCGTGGGGGATCTACCACCATGTCTCACTAGCCACCCACAGGTCCCCACCAAAGCGATGTGGCAGGCATAGGATGGATCTCTTCTCCCATTTCCAGAATTATATGCTCCCACATAATTTGGAGGCCTGTGCACTCTACCTAATGCCAGGGCTGCCTGGTATATTTGTGGGATTACAAGACGTGGGCACAGTTCATCACTTACCAGTTTGGTTGTCCGAAGGTCAATACTAGGTTGACACAGTGACTGGTTCCATATTTCGGAAGGAGGCGCATAACCGACCATGCCTGGAGGGAAGAAGGCATTTGGTGGTACCACCCAGAAGTTGTCTGGGCAGGATGAGACACAAATCTGTAGCGGGGGGGAAGGGGGGAATGGAGAATTAAAATAAACTCAGCAAGGATCTGGGAAGTAAATGATTCTACGATTGTCCAAAGTAGTAGTTATGTTATCTGATCTTGGCATGTTGACAAAAGTAAGGGGTGGGGGAGAAAAGGAAGGGGAGAATAAGGGGAAAGGCAAATTATTGTAGCACCTCACGGGATCTCAGTCCCATAGCATTCCTGTGACAGTCATGTCTACTAGGCCTAGAGATTATTGCTCAATCTAGGATCCGCTAATCACCACCATGGAACAAACACGGGCTACAGGTATTTTGCGTACTCTGTGTCTGAAGAATCAGGTTTTGATCTATGAAAGCTCACACTGAAATACATTTGTTAGTCTTTGAAGTGCTACGGCATTTCGCTTTCTTCTTCTCTTCTTTTTCTCTTTTCTTTTTTCCCTTTCATTTTTGCCGAAATGAATGTGACAGAATTCCTGATCACCACATTTGGCTTCTAGAAAGACTTGCCCCATACTCCAAATCTTCCCTTTTTGGGGACTGTAATAGACAGACCCTCCAGCCTGTATGCTGGCTAGACGATTCTAGAAGCTATAGTCCAAAAACTAATCCAGTGTAGTGCAGGAGATAGAATAACAAACTAAAACTCAGGAGATCTGAGCTTGATGGCATGCCACCACAACAAATTGACCAGAAATATATTTTTCTAGTTCTGTCATACCTACCTACCTATATCTGCCAGGCTTGCATTTATTTTTCATCTAGGACAAAGCACCTTGAAAAACTGGTCCAGCTCCTCTTTTTATAGCGGCGTGACCCACAGAACAGAAGGGCTGTAGCTCAGTGATAACAAAGGATGTGCTTCGCTTGAAGCAGACCCTATGATCCCTTTCCTGCATCCCCCGGGGAGGGCTGAGGAAGACCCTTGTCTACCTGAAATCATGAAGAACTGTATTTACTAAATGTTTGGGACTACATTGCCTAGAATCTCTGCATTAGCATAAGAGCTGGGGATTATGGGAGTTCAACACAGTTTAATCACTGCTACAACCAGACAGATTAATGATGTGCCTCACTGTTTAGAAGTAACATATTGTAAGTGATGGCATAACCCACAAGTTCAAATCCTGTTACTGTAATGTAGGCTACGTAAGGCTGATGACATCAGCAGTAGCAGCCGCCATTTTTCAGCAATTAAACATTTCCTACTTCCACACCAAGGCTCCCAAGCAAACCCTTTCATTGAAGTGAAGCCATGGAAGCGACAGGATGGTCTTTGATTTTTTTTTAAAAAATGACCCCCACCAAAACCTACTGACAATTTCAACTCCCAGGCATTCTGCTGGCAGTTAAAAGACTTCTGCATCCCATTCCATCACTGTGTAAATGAATCTTTGGTTCTTTTTTTTTTCTTTAAGCAAAATGCGAGGAATGTATAAGAACCTCCCGGATACACTAGCAGCCTTGTAAACAAAGTCTGTAGATTGCTTTCAGTGGAATTTCTGAGAATGTTTCAGCTTGGACGTGGGGTTTGTAATTTGCTTAAGCAAAGAAAAGGCTGAGTTTCATGGCAGCAGATCTGGTAAGAGGCGGAGCTTAAGGGCAATAAGGCTTTGCATATCATGTCACAAAAAGTGAGTGCTTTATCAACATGAAACACATTGCCGAGCAGACCCATATCAAGTACGGTATAATATAACAGCTTTTTTCAATCCATGTTCTGAGTTCTTGTCAGCCTCCATTTAAGGCACTCTCTATAATAGCCTAGAAATTCAATATGTGCAGCAGAGCTGGCCCGACCCTTAGACAGAAGGAGGTGACTGTCTGAGGTGGCAAATGTGGTGGAATGGCGGCAGCCGCCCCACAGCTATTCCTCCTAAGATATCTAACCATTTCCTTCCGTTGAAGATCAGAGCTCTGTGGAACATGTAGCCTGTGGTATTTTTGGTATGTTCTTAAAATGGGGGTGGGGGGAACAGCTTGGAGTCATAGAATCAGGAAGTTGGAAGGGGCCTACAAGGCCATCAAGTCCAACCCCCTGCTCAATGCAGGAATACCAATCAAAGATGTCAGATGTAGAGCGCACCACCCCTTGAGGTAATTGGTTCCATTGCCATGCTGCTCTTAACAGTTAGGAAGTTTTTCCTCATGTTCAACCGAAATCTGGCTTCCTGTACTGTCAGCCCTTTGTTGCATGTCCTGCACTTTGGGATGATTCAAAACATATCCTGCCCCTCTTCTGAACTGAACTTCTACCCAGGAAGTTAAATATGTAGATCTAACCATGAAAAAGAGAGGGCAAGCAAGAGAGACTAAAGCAAGATGTCCTCGGTCATGGTGGCCCACACCCTGTACCGACCTATTCAGTTTTGCACTTCCCTGGGAGCCTAGATCGCTCCGTATCCTACCTGTGTCGTAGGGCACTGAAGCCCATTCATGGCCGTTACCATGGTGTTCAAACCCATGACGCATTTCATAATGTTGAAATAGAGAAGGTAAGGTTTGTCACTGCAAACAGAAGGGAAAACAAAGCATGTTAAATCTTTTAAAGGAATGGGGAAAAAAGAGTATGGTTAGGATTTTGTTCTTTTGAAGTGCCTCCGTATACTTTTTCTCTATATTGGATAGTTTGTTCTCTTTCTCCCCAGGTCCAATATCTTTTATTCTGGATGCTCTGGTGCCCCACCTACACAGAGGCTGAAAACAACATTTTCTCATAACATCTGCCCCTTTCTCCGTCCTCTTTTTCCACCAATTTCTCTGCCCTTTTCAATCTTCCACTATATTTATTGCCCCTTTCCCCCCTCACTGACGCTAAATTCACTCCAAACCACCATTTTGAGAACAATCAATATGCTATATCTCTGGTCGTCCTTCATTTTTTAAAAAACACTCTAGTGCAGTGGCTATTAACCTTGGGTTCTCAGATGTTCTTGGACTACAACTCCCAGAAATCCTGGCCAGCATAGTGAGTGGTGAAGGCTTCTGGGAGTTTTAGTCCAAGAACATCTGGGGACCCAAAGTGGGGAACCACCGGCTAGTGCAAAAGGAATTCATTCCTTACAATCTACCAGGTTAAGAGCTAAACGTGCTGCTCGTAGGGAGCACATTTTCCAGTTTTCATCAAAAATCAAATCCTGTCACTTTCATCCTTATTATGTCCCATTAAGTCAGAACTGACTTATAGCAACCCTAATAGGGCTTTCAATGCAAGTGAGATACTTAAGGAGTGGCTTTACTAGTACTCCTCCCACCTCTGGAAATTTTCCATGGCTGAGCGAGGATTTGAACCCAGCTCTCCTGAGTCCTAGTCCACACCACTGGACAATTTATATCCCATTGTTTCGATATATCCTGTCACTTTCATCTTACTATTTGGCAAACCTTTTTCCACAGACCAATGAAAATTAAAATAAGTTGTGGGATTATTTTGACAGCTTTTGGGAATGGGAGAGCCAATGAATGATGTTCTCGCATAAGAAAAAATAGTGCTAGAACAGAAAGAGTAAAGAGCTGAGCGCTAAGCCACCTTTTCCTTTGTTGTCTTGTGCTAATTGGATTTCATTAAAAAAATCATGACCAAGAAAAGTCTATTGCTATCCAATGTATGAAAAGGAGGTAGGTATCCCTACACCTCATATCACAGGAGATCACACAAACTGCAATCGTAAGATATGTCACTGTAGGCTGAACAGAAAACTCTGTAAGGTCATGGAAAATGATTGCTGCTAATAGGCAGAAGCAAAATGTCATCTAGGCATCATAGAAAAAAGCAGTAGAAAATAGTACAGTGGTACCCCGCTTGACAACAACCCCACTTGATGACGAAACCTCTTAACAATGAGTTATTTGCGATCGCTATTGCGATCGCAAAATGATGGTTCCTATTGGGTTTTTTCGCTTGATATTGATTAGGACCCTGCTTCGCGAACCGTTTGTTCGCAAAACAATGGTTTTTTCAGCTCCGCAAAATGGCGTCCCTTTGCAAAATGGCTGGCTTCCCTTCTCAAAATGGCTGCTTTCCGGACCCCTGCTTCGGAAGATAGCGATTTTAAACAGCTGATCGGCAGTTCTCTATGGGCGATCTTTGCTGGACAATGAGGTATTTCCCCATTGGAATGTATTAACCAGTTTTCAATGCATTCCAATGGGATTCTTTTTCGCTTGACGACAATTTCATTTAACAGCGATTTTTCTGGAATGGATTATCGTTGTCAAGCGGGGCACCACTGTGGATACAAATAGCTTGTCTCTACCTATCTTCCTTCTCCCCTTCTTATATGCTGTGGTACAATCCTGCCAATTACAAAGCCATCTCAAAAAACAAGAAAAGCAAACGAGCATGCTAAGGCAAAACATACAATCAAAGTTTCCCTTCTCAAACCAAAACTAGTAGAATATGGGGAAATTTCTCTCCTTGAGATAGCTTGATGTTTTGTCTTGCAACAGATGCCAGGCAGCAAGAATAATCCAAAGAAATTGGGGAGAGGATCCTCCCCCCCAAATAAAGAGGGGAAAATCAAACATTTTGAAAGGATCCAAGACAGAGGCAGGCAGGCAACACAATCCAAGATAGAAAGTGCTAGGAGCACACAGTAACTCCACCCGTAAGATGAACCAATTCATGCCCTTTTACAGATTCAGAATTCCTGCTCCCCATGGTCTTGACATTCTGATTTGTGGCTGGCAATAGCTCTTGTAACACTATTAGATAAAATGTTTCCAGGGTGATTTGACAGGCAAAGGGTGAAGGAAAGGTAAAACAAAATAAAGAAACACGAAAGAGCACAAACCTTTGATCTACCCCCCTTGTTAAGATGAATTATTCATGTTTCAGAGTCTCTCTTTCAGGAACAAACAGAAATGGGGGGAAATTATCTTTTGTGTTTGTTTTCTTTTGTTAACAAATACGAACTTATTGTCCTGAAAGAAGCACTCACTAAACCCTTCCCTGTGACAATAGATCCACTAGTGTTCGTTTCCCCTCCCAATGGATCTTCAAACCCACCTGTTAGAGATGATCTATTCATGTTTCAGAGTCTCTCTTTCAGGAACAAACAGAAATGGGGGGAAATTATCTTTTGTGTTTGTTTTCTTTTGTTAACAAATACGAACTTATTGTCCTGAAAGAAGCACTCACTAAACCCTTCCCTGTGACAATAGATCCACTAGTGTTCGTTTCCCCTCCCAATGGATCTTCAAACCCACCTGTTAGAGCCAATTCCACAATAGGCTCCAGTTGAATTCCTGGGATAAATAACTTGTCGAGGATCACCATAAAGCCAGGCTTACATGAAAGAAAAAGGAGAAGATGAAACAGAAATCAAAGTGACTTTACCATACTGTTGTGTGTCTAGAGTGTTAGGGAAGGTATTACAAGAAGCAACCAGAGTTGTTATGAACATTTCTAAACGCATCAGTAAGTAACTGGGTGCTTCTCTCAAATAAATGAGAACATTACAAACTATACAGTGTTTCATCTCATTTTAACATTGTCATGATGACAGTAATGAGCAGCTTGTATCTACCTATCTATCACAGAGAAACTGGGGAAATCCAGGATGATATTACCCTTCAGCAGAAACTTCCTTGCTCCAACTTCAGTGTTCCATTTGCACCAGAAAATTGACAAACCAAACACAATTATATTCAAACCTAGGATTGTGCTTTATTGTGCTCAAATATGTCTGGCTTCATTGCTGTTTAGTTGTTAAGTCATGTCCGATTCTTTGTGACCCCATGGACCAGAGCACGCTAGGTCCTCCTGTCTTCCACTGCTTCCAAGAGTTGGGTCAAATTCATGTTGGTCGCTTCGATGACACTGTCCAACCATCTCGTCCTCTGTTGTCCCCTTCTCCTATTTCCTTCACATTTTCCCAACATCAGGGTCTTTTCCAGGGAGTTTTCTCTTCTCATGAGATGGCCAAAGTATTGGAGCCTCATCTTCAGGATCTGTCCTTCCAGTGAGCACTCAGGGTTGATTTCCTTCAGAATGAATAGGTTTGATCTCCTTGCAATCCAGGGGACTCTCAAGAGTCTCCTCCAGCACTACAATTTAAAAGGATCAATTCTTCGGCGGTCAGCCTTCTTTATGGTCCAGCTCTCATTTCCATATAGATTAGGTTAGGCATCCTTCAGTCTCGAGAGACTATGGTAACATGCTTTGTATGGAGGACTTGGAACAGCGTCTAGTATGGCTGAGAAGGCCCATTAGAGAGTGACAATATCTTCCACACTGAAGACAAATACAATCTGCCCCCTGTCCAGCTCCCTGATTTGGCTGGTTTCAGGACTGCCTCTTGGCCTCAGCCTGCTGGACAAGGGTCTCTTCAAAATGGGAAAGGCCATGATGCACCACCTGCCTCCAGGCTGAATGCTCAGATGTCAAGGTTTTCCCCATCTGTTGAGATCCATTCCTAAGGCCTTCAGATCCCACTTGCAGATATCCTTGTATCACAGAGAGATGCCACGGTAGTTATTGCAGTTACCCCTGTCTCACTTGTTCTTATACCATGTGATGATGTTTGCATCCGTCATATCTTGTGATACTCCACCTTCCCTCCAGCAAAGACAAAAGATTTCATACAGCTCGGTGGTTATGATGTCTTTACAGCATTTCAGCAGGGATGTTATCCTTCTCAGATGCCTTACCGGAGGTGAGGGAATCCAAGGCTGCTTTTATTTCTGCTGAAGTTGGTTCGCTGTCCAACTCTTCCAAGACAGACAGATGTTATTTAATGCCTCTCTTCGGTTACTACATTCTCTCTGGAATATAGCTCAGAGTAGTACTGCACCCAGCGTTCCATCTGCTGTGCTCCATACGTCGCTACTGGAAAAACCATAGCT